GCTTTCCTTTTTTCTCTTGCTTTCTTCAATTTTTTTTTGCTCCATCCCAAAATAATGACTGAGTTCAATAACAAAGAAATGTCAGCAAGTGACAGAAGATGACAGTTCCATATGAAGTAACTAAAAGTATTAAGTAAGTGGCCTTCAGCTGGGTTCATGTGGCTCTCAAAGCGGCCAAGGTCTGCCAGCTACCAGGGGACTTGAAGCAGTAGATGGCAGGGCAGGGGGAAGAGGCAAAGCTGTGCTTGGACTCCGCACCAGGGACTGCCTCCTTCCCTCCCTGCGTCTGCAGCCGCTGCGTGGCAAGGAGAACTGTGCCAGACCAGGCAGCCCTTGCCTTGCCCTGGGAAGGGAGCGCTCCCCAGGCAGGCCACCGAGCCGAGAGGTGGCAGCTCCGGGCTTCATCCCTGTCAGGCAGCCGGCAGCTTCCTTTGGCCTCTGATTTCGTTCTGCACCCACTGCCCGAGCGACGGTGCTGGTTAAAAATGCTGCTGGTGATGACAGTGGCACACGGTGAGCTGGTTGCCTGAGGTATGCATCATAAATTGCTTTTGCCTACTTCCTTGGAGAATCTAGGAAATTCTTATTTTTTTAATTATTAAAAGAATGTTATTTAAGTGGTAAAGTATTGATAGGTTGAAAAATAAGAAAGATGCCAGATTTACGTACCACCTAAATTCTGTTCCCCTGCGCTCTGTAATAGAGCTTTAATTACTCAGTCACCAGCTATTATTTCGATAGGATTCCTGTCTCATTCAGTACAAAAGAGGGCAGAATTAAGGTTGCCTGGGCAACTGTAAAGCTGGAGTTTTCTAACATTTGAATACTTGACTTTACAACATGAATAACATTTTTCTTAGTTTTATGTAACTTTAGAATTCATTATCCACGTCACATACAAAATTGCATGACCATCAACAGCAGGTTTCGGTGTAAGGAGAAGGTATATAGGGTCTCTTGCTTTTCTGAGTGTGCGCAAGCCGAACGCAGAGGCCATGTTTGTGTATATCCACTGTGTCAGCCTGGACAAATGCAGGCTTACCAACAAGTCTGACTGAACTTTAGCTAAATGGAACATTTAAGACTTTTCATGGAAAACAATAGTCCTTGCTTTTAAAAACAAGATGAGGTTAGGAAAAAAACTTGCTAATCAGCTTCTGTGTTCTCATTTCCAGGACCTATTAAGATGCAGAGTGTTGACATCAGGGATTTTTGAAACAAGATTTCAAGTAGACAAAGTAAATTTCCAGTAAGTCTATTAGTAATAATTTATGAATATCATACTGATTTTTAACAGCTTAGTTTCAGATGTCTGCGCTCACATATGCTTGGTATAATAGGTTTAGGGTGGAAGTTGTTTGGGTTTTTTTTTAATTTGGTTTGGTTTTTTAGCTCTCTTTCTCCTAGTAAAGTTGCCTCATACATTGTGAAAAGAGCTGATACTAGTCGTGTATTAGTGAAGCTCTTTTGAGGGGTTGTCTGTGGCTACTGTAAGTTTTTACTAACTGGTTCATTGGCATAGCACTGAAAACTCATAAAATACTTTTGGGGATAAGATCTCATGGAAGTCAGTGTGAATCCTGTCACGAGTCAGGCTTTTTACAGTGGCATGGGGAAAAGTGAATGTCTCTCTTCTTTCTGAGGGCTGCAAGCTTGATGTTTGTCAAAGTTTTACGCTGTGTCTCTGTAAAACACCCACCGCCGTGCTGCCGCTGCTTCCTGGTTCTTGCCCAGAAAGGTGGCAGCAGTGACGGGCAGTGACAGAAACGACTGCCCTCATATCCTCCTCCTTACAGGGATGCGCTCTCCCCACCACCCTTCAAAACATGCCCAAACGTGTTCTTGCTTATAATACAGTAGATCCTACCTTACATGCCACCTGTGCTTCTGTGGGCTGGGAAGGTCGACGTTTGCCCTGGAAAAGAGTGTCTTTCTCATGTCGTGGGATCAGCAGCCTTCGCCTGGCAGAGTGGGGCAGGTGGAGCTGTGCAGCTCTCGACACGCAGCGCGGCACCAGCACACCTCTCTCCCTTTGGGCGGTATTTTGCTGCTGCTGGCCTTGGGGCTGTTACATTTTTAAACTGAACCCTCGTGCTGCATGCTTCGTGTGACTTTCCTAGTGCACATAAGTGATATAACATCCTATGGCTTTTTAACAGCATGTTTGATGTAGGTGGCCAGAGAGATGAAAGAAGAAAATGGATCCAGTGCTTTAATGGTAAGTAAAAACATCCCACGTTTTTATTTTGCACTTAGTCTCTGAGATTTGAGCAGCGTAGCATTCATATCCACACACAGTGTGTCACTAATACAGGAGTCCAGTGTTACGGATATTTTCTTCAGATATTTTTGGCAGTTTGGGGAGTAATGGAGGTGTTACCCCGAGGACTATGTGCCAGGATAACGGAGATGTTCTTCTCTCTCTCCTTTCTTTCTTTGGTGTGCTCTTGCCAGATGTCACGGCTATCATCTTCGTTGTGGCTTGCAGCAGCTACAACATGGTAATAAGGGAAGACAATAACACAAACAGACTACGGGAATCCCTGGACCTTTTCAAAAGTATCTGGAATAATAGGTAATACATGCCTTATTCCCCACCCGCCCTCCCCAGTTTAGCTGCAGTTCAGCTCCTCGCAAAACAGGACTCCCCTGCAGGGACAGTGCACGCGTCGTTTTGCCGCTGCTGCCAAAAGGATGCAGGGCACAGGGACAGCCTGGGAAGGGCAAGCTCCCTGTGCCGGCTGCCAGGATAGAAGCAGGGCAGACCCCTTCCTGGTGTCACTGTGCTGCTTGGCCAAGACTGAGAGCACCTTCCAAGTCACGTTTCACCTCCTCCTCAACCGCAGCAGCAGCAGCTGCCGTGATTGCATTCGGTTCAGGAGCTGGCGCTCCACTCAATACCCGCGTGGGCAGCCGCTCTCCTAAGACTCGTCTCTGAGAGCACACAGTTCCTCTTCCTTGTGGGATGGTATTTCAGATCCAATCTGACTGCCATTAAATTGCTGTTCCGCCACGGTGCCTGTGAATTATAGATACGTAACCAAATAGCAGTCTCCTGCCAGGGAATAAGTAAAAACAACCACAAAAGAAGGTGGTGAAGTTTTCAGCATATACCTACTAGGGTGCTCTGCACTGAGAAGTGATGGAAGGTAGAGTGAGGAAAAATGTTATCGTGACAGTGATGGCTGGGTGTTAGTCGGAGAAGAAAAGAGATTTCTTTTCTTCTGATTCATCAGGTGTCATGCAGGTCACCCTAAAAGACAGGATACGTGTGTGGATGTACAATAGCTAAGGCAGAACAGTCCAAGGGAGGGCAGCTTTCCAGCCTTTTGCCTCAGCAAAACCGAAGTAGACAGTCATGTCTGGTTTTGGACTGCAGTGCTTTTAGGAAATGTCATTATTTTCCCGACTCCGTATCAACAGGATAATTTAGAAAACAGTATTTGAAGACTGCTGCCTTCAGCAATGTCTTCTGCAGTTTTTATAAATGTATTTACAGCTCCTGTAAGTACCCCCACTGGCACAGGTGCAAACCCAACCGAAACAATAATTCAGGTCATCTGTTTTCTCTGTTGAAGCGTGTTCCACGCTGCTTCACTCTGTCCACGCAGGGATAGCCAGTAAATTTTCTATTGAAGTGATATCTTTTCCTTGATGGACGTGTCAGAGATAACACAAATATTTGGTTTGGTTTTGGCAGGTGGTTACGGACCATTTCTATCATTTTGTTCTTGAATAAACAGGACATGCTGGCTGAAAAAGTCTTGGCAGGGAAGTCAAAAATCGAAGATTACTTTCCCGAATACGCGCATTATACTGTACCTGAGGATGGTAAGGTTTTTCACCATGCGGGGATTGGACCTGCTGGCGTAGCCCAGCCTCTGGTTCCTCTCTCTGTCTGTCTGTCTCTCACACGCACCAACTCACAAGCACACACCATTCTTTAACGCGCACTGTCAGTCAGGTAAGGAGTGTGCCGGCAGCACGCGGCTCAGAGGTGCCCCAGCAGGGTCTGAAGGGGTTCTGTCTGCTGGGGATGGTCCAGAGCATTTTGGAGCAACCCACAGGAAAGCAGAGCTGCCGAGCACGTCTCCACGCTCCTGCCGGGTCCTGTCATGGTGCTGAACTTCGTTAGGGATTTGTTGGGCAACTTCTGCAGCCGTTCCGCATCCCCCAACACTGTTAAGCTTCTGCCTTTGCAAACACTGTTGGGAAGCCCAGCAGACCAGCAAGGGAACTTTAGTGGAGGAAAACCACACCAAGAAGTACAGAGGGAGCTGTGACAATGGAGCGATTAGCATGGGTTCACTTTCTTTTAATTGCAAGAAGGACGGTGATCCCTGCATCGCAGTAGCATTGCGTAACTAAACTCTGGTACTTTGCCAGTGTTGTACCAGGCAGAGGCCTTCCCAAATGTCTCAGGTCTAGCAAAAATGGTAGCACTTGCACTTTCTGACCACTAGCACCTGCCTTACCAAGTGATGCCCCTGGCGTAGTGCTTGCAGCCAGCTGCTGGAAAAGGCTTTCGTTCCCCACTAACTGTCAGCAACAGCCTGGGCTACAGAAGTGAAGATGGTAATAAGCTGTTTTCGGCTTTCATTCAGGTCTGGAATATCAGGAGTGTGATGCTGAGTTTCAGGTGGAGAGGATAAGAAAATCTGTCCTAAAATATGAGTTAACCTGGCACCAGCTTTACAATGCTAAGGGTTTTCAGAAGAAGAAACCACCTGTCACCATCACCCAAATTTCCCTCTCTGAAACATACATCGCATATAATACTGAATCTGGTTAAATTTTCAACACTTTTTTATATTAAGCCAGTTGTCAGAATTGAGTGGCTTTTGGTGTTTCTCTGCAGGATTTCACAGCGGATATCCAGAGTGATCCAAAATACTCACACATGAAGCAGCTCTCTATTTTTAACCTGTAGCTGTTCCTTTATTCTTTAATTTCAGCTGACATTATTTGAGGAGAGCAGCACTTAACTCTGAGATGCTGCTGATCGTGCTGCTGCTCTGCGTTTACCCCTAGCGCCGTAGATAAGAGCAAAAAATAGGTTTCCATATTCTGATGAATTCTGCTCTTTATTATGTTTATAAGCATCGGATTTGGTATCTCAGAGGAGGAAAAATCACCCTGAAGGGAAACAAATAGGTTATCTCTTCACTATGTTGTTTTCGACGCTTAGGGCAACGTACTTGTTGCGTGGCCTAGGTAGAGGTGACTTCGTCTGCCAGCAAACTGTTAGTGCTGACCAACCAGTCTCCCTCTCAGCAAGAATTTAATCTAAGGCCCCTTGGTGGGCAGTATATCTACGTACTCTGCTGACTTGGGGCCTGGAAATAAAACCTATATATATTAAAAGATCTTTTGATGCCATCATTTTGTCCAAGTGTAATCTCAGGCTGACCATTTTTAAACCCAAATTCCTGCCTGCAGAAGCTTGATACAAGAGATGTCGTTCTGCTGCAGAAACTGAACAGCTCAGCTGCTTCTTCTCGTTACATTTTCTGCTAGAAGTTAAACCCTGACTCCCACTTGTTTTGTATCTATGGGACCAAACTTGTGGATGTGAGTAAGCCTCTTCATGGTATGACCAATGACATTGTTGCAAAGATTTCAGCTATTTTCAGGTTCCTAAAATATGTTAAATGCATAGTCAGATTTTACAGTACCCTTCCATTTTAGAACTACCTATCAGGAATCTCCTCTGGATATTTAACATTTCAATTTCTGTATTGAAGGACTACTTTCTCCTTATTACATCTTTTCTTATGAAAAGGAGATGATTGCTTTTCATGTTTCTGATGTCATGTATTTTCAATTGAACAGCAACACCAGATGCAGGAGAAGACCCCAAAGTCACAAGAGCCAAGTTCTTCATCCGGGATGAGTTTTTAGTGAGTAATTTTGATCTTATGTGTGATTCCATCGTAGGAAATACTGGCAGATGGCATAGTTTATTTAGGGAAAACTGATGGGTTTTTGCAGTGATAAGGAGCAGAGAACGTCTGGCAATCCCCTAATTCTTTTCAGCTGCCCATCTTGCAGAACCTTCCCCAGCGCTTGCACATTTTTATGCCCATTTTCTATAAAGTCTCCTGCCCTGCGAAGTGTCGCACAGCAAGTAAGTGCTAGTGCTGAAAACAACTGTGCGCCTGCCTGCTTGGTGCCGTGCTTGGTCTGGGTGCTGGCAGCCCTCCCTCTGCGCAGGGGGGCAATGCCAAACGCTATTCACACTGCCCATTAGTCAGTCACCTTCCACTAGACCAGGTTGCTCAGAGCCTCATCCAGCCTGGCCTTGAACACTTCCAGGGATGGGGCATCCACAGCTTCTCTGGGCATTAGGATTTACAGCTGTTGATGCAGCAAGAAAGAAAGAAGTGGTTAATTCTGTTCACGCTTTGGGGTTTTTTCCATTCATCTCCTTAACCTTCTGGATTCTGAGGGAAAATGTCAGATTGCACTGTGTTAACATAAGAGTTACCCCAAAAAAAACCCACTTCAAGCCATCTCTTGTAATGCTGAAATGCTGTGAAGCAGGTGATGGTGTCCAGTTGGAAAGAGGGTCCAAGAGAACCGAATTATGTGGAAACTATGGTGAAACTCCCCACCCTTATCTATTTTCAATATTTAAAAATAAACACCCCAAGGGCAGGGTCCTTACCTGCCGTGGCTCACCGGCATTACGGAAAGAGGCCACATTTCTATAGGAGGCCTCTGTATGAGCTGTAGGACAGAGGGAAGGGGGCGTAGGCGTTGCAGCCACATAAAGAGCCCCGGTGCGGCTGCAGAGACCGTCTGCAGCCCTGGGCTTGGGGGCAGGAGGAGCCTTTGGGCCAGGGTCAGCATCTGCCAGCCGCTGAGCATTCCTTGGGGCTCGGGCGTAGGGCCGAAACGGGGCTGAAACAGCTTTGCCCCCTTTTCCCTTAGCCAGCTTCACGGAAGAAAAGGTGTATATATCTTACCTACAGCCCCCCTGGGTGTGCTTTATCCCTTTCTTTCCAAGTCTCTTGTGACCTTTTCCCTATCCTGCTCTGTTAAATTTTCAGACATGATTTTGAGAAATCTGTTTTTATTAATTTTTAAGCGTTACTGCGATTTTTAGCGTGGTAGAGGGTCTGCATAAGGCGTGGATATGTGTGAAGGTCACTGCCGTGGCTCAGCACCCCTTAAAATGCTCTGCCAGGTTCAGAGCACGTAATACATAGCAGCCTGCCAGTATCTGAAGGGGCTACAAGGAAGCTGGGGGGGACTTTTTACAAGGGCCTGTAGTGACAGGACAAGGGGTAACGGGTTTAAATTGAAAGTGGGGAGATTTAGATTAGATATCAGGAAGAAGTTCTTCCCGGAGAGGGTGGTGAGGCACTGGAACAGGTTGCCCAGAGAAGCTGTGGATGCCCCATCCCTGGAAGTGTTCAAGGCCAGGCTGGATGAGGCTTTGAGCAACCTGGTCTAGTGGAAGGTGTCCCTGCCCATGGCAGGGGGGTTGGAACTGGATGGTCTTTAAGGTCCCTTCCAACACAAACCGTTCTGTGATTCTGTGAATTCAAAGAATTTTGGAAGGAGATTAAACACAAACACATTTCCAACAACAACACGGTAGAATATGAGTATTAGGAAGGCAAAATACGTTGGCTCCTGAGTTCAGAACTGGTGCGGGGGCCTGTGGCCTCTGGGGTCGGCGGCAGCAGGCCGGGCTGCTTGGCACCATTGGGTTTAATAGGGGGAGCGGTGGGTGAGGGCTGGCGGGACGTATCCCGTAGGAAATCCTCCTTCCTTCGGCTCAGGCACTCCCTTTCTGCTCCCAAGCTCTTCACGGAGGCAGCGAGCTTGTGCGCTCCTTGTGTAGGCTACTCCCAGCCCCATCTTGGTGTTTTGTGCACAGGGCTCCCCAGCTGCTGGTGTTTCGCTTCAGTACATCCCCAGTGTACAGGTAACCCCTGCTAAAACAGTGGCACGGCCTCCCCGGCTCGTGCTGGTTTTTAGAATGCTGAAAACACCTCACTGGGAGGTGAAGGAGCTGCTGTTCAGACACAGAGACCAGGCTCCCTCGAGTCATGCGTTTGGCTCCTCACTGAAACCCGTTGTCCTGACCCCCGCAGAATAGGGACGCTGGTATTAAATACTCCTGGTTGTGGTACAGGAAAGTGAAAGTTCCTCCCCAGGGGATACCATTTTTTTCCCCTTCTGAACTGGTGCTAAGTAACACGCCACTATTCAAAATGAGTTTTGAGTAGAGGTGAAAATATTGCATCTGTCTTAAAATGAGAGAGCAACAGGGCTGTCAGGGGACCCAAAAAAACTCTAACATTTTGAAAAGACATCCCTTGACACTTTGTCTGTGTACCCAGGTGTCAGCAGAACATTGTGGGCAGCCTACTACCGTAGACATTAGTGGAATGGAATGCACAATAAACACCATCATGGAATCACAGTATGATCTGGGTTGGAAGGGACCTTAAAGATCATCTAGTTCCAACCCCCCTGCCATGGGCAGGGACAGTAATCTAGTACACGATAAACACAAGCAAACACTTAGTGGAAGAACCCTTATTTTACTGAAACACAGGGAAAAGATGGAATGCCGGGTCAGTAGGGTGGCGTGCTCCCTACTGCCCGCATCGGGGTGGCCAGGAAAGCACGTGTACGTTGTCCCTGCAGCGGGCCAGGGCTGAATGCCTCCGAGGCGAAGAAGGAAAGGGGGCAGCAGTAGTGGGAAGGCAGGCTGGGCCCTCCTTTTGGGAGACAGTGTGTTATTTTAAGTCCCATTGAAAACAGAAGTATGTTTAGCCTCTCCCTGCTGCATCCGCATGGCGGCGTTACACCACTGCCACACAGGACAGAGCTGCAGACAAACAACGTAAAGCAGCTACTGTATCAAAAGCAGGAACACTGCTGCATTTTTTTACTGGTTTAAAATTAGTAAGTCCATGCACACCACTGTCCTTTCAGCCCTTGGGTTCCCAAGGGTCTGGTTTCCCCCAGACCTTCCAAGACGGTGAAGATCTCCCCAAACCCTTCTGGGAGATTTGCCAGGTAGACAGGCACAATCTGCGTTTTCACTGAGTTCCAGCATCTGGCCACCACTGCCATAATGTGTAAAAACTCCTCTTTTTTTCTCATTTCATTATTGGCTAGTGTACTTCATGCTTCAGGTGAGGTCTGAGCAACTTACCCGTCAGTTGAATACATCACTTAATGGATTAAATTCATATTTTTCATGAGGGAAAGCCTTGAACAAGGTATGGAGCGTAGCTTAGTAAGAAGAGAATAATTTTTCATGTATATATGGAACACGCCTTGTTCAATTAGTGTTGAATATCTCATCTGCAGCCATCTGCAGCTTCTTGTTGATCTATTTATGGAAATTATAGCTTCTAAAAGTCTGTAGTTCTGCATATCGGTACCTGCAGGTGTGTTAAAGGTCGATCCTATAGGTGAAGTAAGTCACTATATTAAAAATACATAGTGTAGCCAGAGAGAGAGGGTCTCTGTTGTCATTCAGCCACATCCTTTGTAATCCAATTTGGAAAATCCTTATAAAAAAATCTTACCCGAGAACTGCCCTTCTGCTTTCATGAGGTTCCATATATTCTTCAAGATGCTGATCTAGAACGGATTTTATATTTGTCAGTCCTAGAGTAATACAGAACAGAAATAAGATTGTTTTTAAACACTTTTTTTAAGATCCCAAGGAACTTTAACCCGACACCCACGGGTGAAGTGGTGCGGGAGCTTAGGTTAGCAACCTAAAAAGCTGTGCGGTAGCCTTGCAGGAGTTCAGTTCTGGGTGGGTCGATGTCTACTGGGTTTGCACAGACTTTATGGTTCGATGGGACCCCGGCCGCGCTCGTGATAGCCCCATGGTGGCTCGGGCTGGGTGACGCTGCCCAGCCCTTCAGCCGGCGTCATGGGTGGTGCACGGCGTCAGGGCAACTTCGGGGACCTCCAGCTCCAAGAGCAGAAGGGTGCCGGTCGCTGCTGCTGCCACCCTCACAGGGTGGGGGGTTTCAGTCTCGCGTTGCTGATTTAAAATGGGTTCAGAAATTTGCCACGTGATGGCACCATAAAAAAGAAGGGGGGAGGGAAAGAAAAAAATCCTAGGACAGCCGGGTGTCCAGAACCGCTTGGCAATGCACAAGCGCTACTGCCCTGTGCACGTGATGGCAACATCCACATGGTAATACGCTGACCCCATAACCTGAGCTGAGTTTCCAGTCTGCGATCCGAGTTGGACCAGACCACCCGATGATTTATTTAATCATGTCTAGCCCAAGTCTCCCGGGTTTCTTGGCGCCCCCTAAGTCTGTAGGTCCCCGGGGAGGCAACGCTTCTCGCAGCACAGCGCCTGACCCCTTTTCCCCCCCCCCCCCCCCTCTGGACGGCGAGCGGCGATGGCAGGCACTACTGCTACCCCCACTTCACGTGTGCAGTGGACACGGAAAACATCCGCAGGGTGTTCAACGACTGTCGAGACATCATTCAAAGGATGCACCTCCGCCAGTACGAACTCTTGTGAGGGGGATCACTGTGGAACCTGTGGTTTTAAATTCTTTGCTCCTTACTCTTTCTCTTGATACTGCCCCACACAGGGTGGAAGAATATACTATAGAAATGTCAGTCTCTTCACTTGGTTTACTTTTAATTATTTAACCTTAAAGCTGGTTTGAAGCAAGTCTGGGTTGGTTTTCCTTCATGCTTTTTTGGGACTATTTTTGTGCTTTGTTTTGACATGCCACTTCTTCGTCATTCCACTAAGCCCTTCGGCTACCTCTGTTCCCTTAGGTTTTGGGGTTTTCCTTTTTTTAACCGAACGTGACCCGCTACATTTTTTTCCGGCGGGTCAACGTCGGTTCCACCTGGTCTCTCAGCTGGATGACACTAAAGTCATACCTATCCCTCTGTGTGGGTTTCCTTTTTAACACGACATTGAGGAGTACTTGATGGGTGAAAACAAACAAACAAACAAAAGATTAATGCACTTTGTATCAGGTTATTAAATACCGCCGAGGAAGTAGACACACAATGTAGCAGCACCACACTATTTATTACTCTGTCACGGTTTTTAGCATTCCTGAGTTGCAGGTCAACTGGCGGCGTGACCTCCTCTTTTAAGCCGTTACTGGCGCAGGAAGTAGAGTAGATAAGGAGAGGCGTAGTGAAGACGAAAGCAGTTTTTCTGGGGTCCTGGAGCGAGGCGTCTCCGCGCGCCGCGGGCGTTGGAATTGCGGCGACTTGTCGGCCTGTTGCACCTAGGCAGGAGATGGCCCACCCTCACCTACCGTTCCTTGTGCTGTCCACAAATGATCCTTTTGGTTCTGATCATTCTCGGACAAACCGTCCTCTCCCTATATATATATATATTTTTTTTTTGTTTTGTTTTACTGCTGGTTTATTATATTGTACAGACTGTAAAATGTAATATTATTTTGTACAACTTTATTGAAGAAAAATACTTGTAGAAGATCTTTGTGCCTTGATTATGGCTGTACCTGTAAAATGAGCTAAGATGTAAGTATGTTTTTGATTGCGCTGTACAGCTTGATGTCAACCTTACCTGCAGCAGTGCCTGGAGGTAAGAACTTTATCTGTAGAGTTTAGGGGTTTTTTTCTGGTTTATATAAAAATGCTCTTTAGTATAAAAATTATAAATTATGCAAATTAACCACTTACCTTTCCAAGTAAGGTGTTACAGTCACCGGATGTTGCAGCAAACATGCCTTTCTCTTTCGAAGTCTCAGCTTTAAACATCGGAATTTGTTCGAACGTCCAGACCGCAACCTGGTGTTGTTCTAGCGGGAACCAAGGATTGGTTGGGGTCGGTTGGTTGGGGTTTCGGTTGGGGTGGTGGTTTTTTTTCCTTCCTCCCCCTCCCCTCCTTTATCTTTAGAAAACACGTTTGGTAGCTCTTCGGTCACTGATAGAACTTCACGGTTGCGCAGAGCGGTGGTGAGCGTGTGAAGCGCCATTCTGTAGAGCTCGTCAGTCTCTGTACCCACAGCGGCTTTCATTGTGCAAGTCAGTAGCCAGAAAGAAGAAAACAAAACAAACAAACAAACGCCACACCAAAAAAAAAAAAAGAAAAAGGTGTATAAACCCTCGCGCCTGGCCTGAGAGAATTACAAGATGACGTCTTTATTTCTCTTTTAATAAAGAGACACATTAGAAAAGTGTTTTATTTTAAATATTGTAGAATCAAAACGTGTGAATATTTCTCAAACTTGAATAATTTATGCAAATGACATTCTCAAAACAAGTCGTGGTACAGTACAATATATAAAAAGCAAGAATTGCTGTAGCAATAAGGCATGTCCTTTTTAGTAACTATAACACTGCTTTATATTTTATACATAGGTGTTTTATGTCTGTGACTCTATACTTTTCCTGTGTCCAAGATAACCTGTACAAATGTCTCAAATTACAGTTGCAATAACAGAAACCTAGAGAAGTGTTAGCCTACATTACTTTATAGGGCGTTTTACCACACTCCGGACCGCTCCCCCCCGCTCGGTTTGAAATTTAGGGAGAGATGAAGAGCTAACGCATTCCCCACATCCGCGTCCGAGTCGGCGGGTTCGAGTAGCTCTCGACGATAAGCGTCGTCGCTCGTGCTGAGCCCCAGCCGGTCGTCTTTTGCCATTCAGCCTGCAGCCAAGGGCAGAACTGGTTTCTCTCTGAGGATGAACGGTCCTGCTTCGGACGCTGTCACGTGACCACGGCCCCTCTCAGAAAGGCGTAGCCTTTGCTACCTGCACGGCCGGGTTAGTCGTCGGCTAATTCCCAGGCAGCGAAAGGCTGGGTGGGACGAGCTAGTAATAAACACCATTCCCAAATACGAAGATTCTCCAGCTTCCCACGCCCAGGAAGAAAGCAGCGCGCAGAAGATGCTCTTTAAAAGCGACCCCCAGCCCAGGAGCCCAGGGTGGAGCCTCTACAGGAGCGTCAGTAGGAAAACCCATCCCGGCGGGAAGTAGTCTCTCTGGTTCTTCTGGGTCGGGAGGGGAGAAGCGACAGGTTTCTCACCCCTTCCCTCACAGGCAGCGCAGGAAGAGGCTGAGCTCAGCTTTTACACCCCCCGTGCTGCCAGCTGGGTCTAGGGTGTCCCCCCACGCCCCATGGAAGAGCTAGCACAGGGCAGAACGGGACCCTCCAGTGGGGTAACAGAACCTGGCGACCCTGCAGGAATCCCTGCCCCCGCCTGTCCACAGGCCGAGGCGTAGGACGACGTTCCTGCAGCTGGCGTTCCATCTTCCTTCCTGCAGGAAGCCCGGCCGCGGGAGGCCTCTTGCCTCGCAGGTCTCTGGGATGCCACAGGGCCCTCGCTTTTTAAGCTCATCATAGCACATCTTCTGAAAAAGAGCAGCTTGAGGGGTCGCCCTCCTTTTTTTGGTTTTTAAGCCGGTTCCGGGCATGTTATCAGCAAACTGGATCCACGAGTTTCTCCCCCACGTTGCCCGGCTGGCGATAGCTGCCCACTGCAGCCAGCTGTGTCGGGAATCGGAAGATTTCTTGCCCCCAGACCACAGTCCCTGACGTCCGACGTCCCGGAAAGGTTACGGAAACCTGGGTCCCTCCGTGCTGCCGTACCTAGTTTCTGCCTGACCCTAACAAACACAAGTATGACGTGAGAAGGGCCACGCAGCAATAAAAAAAACGGAGACACCTTTCCAGTTTGCAGGACGGAGCCTCTGCCAGGGCGAGACGCTAGCGCAGAGAGGCGATGAGGCTAGAGGATTTACACACTGTACAGTTACACTTTTAATATACATATTTGATACAAAGATTCTAGCAGGAAAAGGACTCCTTTGATTGTAGAATACAGTATTTTTGTACAGCATGAGACGTTCATTTCAGTTATTTATCCTGTAGTAGTCATATCAGCTGTATAGGACTTCTCTGGTGTGTGTAAATGCCTTCAGACTAGCAATCAAACTCGGTCGTTTGCTGGCATGAATATAGTCTGATGTTTGACTGTTCTCAGCTTTGGTATTTTGGTGACTGAACGCAGATGTCTGGCTCTTCATACTGCTTTATGCTTACTGATTAAATGCTGAGCAAAATAAAATGGCGGAGTGAGAAGCTGAAAACGAGCTAGTATCAGGATCGCAAGCAGAGCACCCGCTGCACAGTACACGGCAAAGACTCTGCTCTCATATGGAAGGAAGCATTTTCGGAGGGAGAAGTCAGTCGGCGTGATGCTGCCCTGGAAAAGAAGTGAAGACTGTCACTTGGCGGTTACAGCGGGGTCTGAATGGGGAGTAAACACCACGGCTGTCGCACCTCCGATCCCTAAATTCTGCGCTGGGCGGCAAGGGTCGGGGCCAGTTTCCTAGTACCAGTGCCTTCTCCAGGGGGCTGAAGAGCCTGTACCTTGCGGTGCTGGGCACTAGCTGGAACGTTTGCCGGGCCAGCATTAGCCCAGAGGCCGATCTCCCCCATATTCCATCTAGCTTAAGTGGAGAGCTGGGCTCCTGATCTGCCCTGCCCTCAGGAGAAGCCCAGCCTTAGCTGCTCTACATCCACCTGAAGGAGCCTTCCCGGGCTAACGTTAGGTTCTGCGAACGCGCCCCTTCCTCCCCGCCGGAGCCCTCCTCCTACCCAGTACGTGCTGCAAGACACACGTCGGCTAATCCAAATTCCGAACAACAAAGGACTCCGTTGGGTTTTGGCTGGACCTGGCAGTTCCAATTGAAGTTCCCAGCGGAGCGAGGCAGAGCTAAACCGGTCGTGAAGACGACGCAACTTCCCTTCGCCAACCTCTCGTTCCGCAGCGGAGACGCACTGTCTGGCGGGCGCAGAGCGCGCGCGCGTGGTTTGAAGGCAGCTACTCTCAGGAATATGGGATAAACGGAACTGCTTCCCACAAGGAATGTTAACAGTTGTTTAAAGTGAATTTAGAAGTCTGGGGTTGTCTGTGTATCGAGCAGCCTAAACTCGACAGCAGTCAAACCGCGCGAAGGATTTGTCCCCCCGAGTCGCAGACTGCTCTGTGAACGGGTTGTAGGTTTTGCTTCTTACTCCAAGTTTCCAGGAATTCCGTTTTATTTTTTGAACTGGGGAACTAGTTGATTTTTACCTCTAAGGATACACTGAGCACTGGAACTGCCCACAAGAGCGTAAGCGACGCACACTGCGCGCAAGGCGAACCGGGCGCGAGGAGGCAGGCGGTGGGCACGGGACAAACGTTAAGGCAGGGGTCGGAAAACCCCACCGTCGCCGCGCAAGGGAGCGTGAGGCGGGGAGGGGCTG